CTGATTGCAATTATTTTAGTCGTGCGACACCCGTTTGTTTCATAACACGTGAATAATCCAATTCTATCAAAATTTCACAAAAATTGACTGGATAGCTAGATTTCGCAAGTCAGATCCAACGGTCAAGTCCATTTTTTCAGTTGAATTATATAAAACTTTATGTTTTTAACCCGTTCTTTAACAACTAATTATTGTTTTACCTCTTTAAGTAAGATTTTAATTTTTAAGATCTCGTATAGGCTAGTACCAAACGGCTAGTGGGTATAGAGTTGTTAGTGTGGGTGCCTTTGGCCTCACTTTAGTGCCCAACTACTCTTGAAGAAATTTATCAAATGTTGGGCCACCACTTGAGAGTTTTAAAATCTATGTATCTGTTATAAAGTTTCAATAGAAACAGGGTTCAAGGTATGGGTCGAGTCCCTATGTTAAACACTGAATAAAACTTGGTGTTGCGAATATCTTTTTGTTCCCTCACTAATATAATTATGCCAACATTATCCCTGTCTTGTATGAAGTGAAGCTCAGTCGAAAGTGGCATCAATTTGCCTTGCTTACATTGGATAGGGAAACTTTACTTCTGATATTTGACTTTTCGCAATTCATTTTCCTATTTTTTGTGATTTGTGATATCCGAAAATACGTATTTTTTAACTTTAGCACTTGTTAAAAAAAAAAAAAACTTTAGCACCATATGATGTCATGAAATAGCAAGCATTTAATTGATTCGTAACATCATTAAAAGGCTTAATGGGTGGAAAAAAAGCTTCTTTCACGGGGTGCTCATCTTAACTTCAGCACCATATGTAGTGTTGCTCCAAAACCTATTGTTATCAACGGAGGAGATTTAATCAACAGGTTTTGTTTCAGAACATCCTTAGATGAATTTTAAAGGGATAAACACACAAAACAATGAACTAATAAAAGAGAATTTATTTATTAATCAATTCGAAGGGATTTCAATTACAAAAGACTGAATTAACAATCTTGATTACAGTAGTAACTACTTTCTAAAATTAACTTAACATTACTAAAGATGTCTAGATCATGGGTCTTGTGGGGATTTGAATGTATCTTTAACTTCCTCCTTATCTACCTTTTATAGACACTATCTGCCTAAAAAAAATAACAAATAGACACTATCTTCACAGTTATTTAGTTTCTATTCACAGTTCTGTCTCTATTAACAGTTATTTAGTTTATAACTCCCAAACAATGCTCTCTCTTTTGAAAAAAAGTTGTGGCTGATCATTGCCCACCTTTTTTTAGACTCTGCCGCATGGCCTCCTCTTAATGTCTTTGGATTTTCTAGATATCGATATATCAAACATTTCCATAATTTTATATTTTAGGTCCAAATAGACACGATCCATTGATGGACAAGTGAAATTCTATTATGAAGCAAATCAGTTGAAGTTTTCAAAACTTTTGACAGAGAAACTAGGTTCATCTGGTGAGCAACGAGGTCCATGTCTCCTTTATATGACAGTTTGGTCCTCAATTCTTTAGGCTATACAGAAATTGGATCTTCTAAAGCATTATGGGCAACAATGTGTACCCCAAATTTGGGGTAGCCACTTAAAAAAGTATCTCAATGTATAACGCGCTCGTCATTGTGAGGGTCTGGAGAGGGTTAAATATATGCAGCATTACCCTTGCAAGTAAAGAGGCTGTTTTCCATGATTTGAACCTATGACCTCAAAATCACAATGAAACAATTTTACCATTGCGATAAGACCTGCGCCCAATGTAGTAGCCACTTTATCTATTCATTTTAGGTTGGAAATAGCAACACAAAACCAGTAAAAGGTATCCAATGATGCCCCCCCACCCCCACCCCCACCCCCAACCCCAACCCCAACTACATACCACTAATCATGGACCCCTGCGAAGAAAGAAGGCACTTCGATGTTTGAATAATATAATGAAATAAATCTAAATCAATGTCCCAACTTTTGATGCATGCTCTGCACTTTCACACTTTTATTGACCAATTTTATAGTTTTTAATCCACCTTTTCATTCTTTTTATTTTATTTTTATTAAACATGATGTTTTATCTATTTTTGCAATTTTTCATTTTTCAAACTTTTCATTTTTTTATTTTTCTGTCGTACTAAACGGAACATAAGAAATAGACTTCACAGGTACAAAATGACCTAGATCTATTGGTTTTTAGATGTGAAAGTAAGAGATTTTAATCTATTTTATAGGAATAGTACACATTTTGGTAGTGCTTAGAGCACCATTTTCTTCATTATCAACATTAATTGATCTTTTTTCTGGCACTTGTGATCGTGTAGCTTATTTAATCGATGATGCTGTTTTCTCATTTTGTTTTTTTCACATTTTTCCAAGATTAATTTGTTCATGTATATTTTCTGCCTATATGCAGCTATGCAATTAAGAAGAACGATGAGATAGAGAGGGCTGCCCCTTGCAATCGTTGAGAGTGGAGCAACCTCATATATATTAGGACGATTCTTTCATTAATTTTATGCAATTTTTTATTTGGTCCCCCTAGAGTTTTGGTATTTTTTATTTGACGCCCTATTTTAAATTAAAATAATTTAAAAGTTTTAGGAGCAATTTAAAATAAAGATTATTGTCTGCCCATTTTTTTATTGTTGACGTGAGAAGTGTATGTCAACTAAGATGGTGTTATATAAGATTACTATCTAATGCATCCACAATTAAAGGGACTGTATAACACAAAAAAATCATAAATCAAGAAACATTAAAATTCATTGGAAAAAACTATCATAATTTGTAATGCTAAAATTACTTCTTTTAATTGAAATTTTATAAAAAAAATTTTATTTCTTTTCATTCAAACAAAACATCAACGAATCTAACTCTTATACTACCCCTTTCTCACAAAAAATAGTGGATCGTATGTAATATGTATTTTATTATGGATCTAAAAATTAAATCTCCATTTAAAATTCTTTGATCAATCAAGGATCCAACAAAACTTGAAGAACCAATGGTTGTGACACTCTTTTTGTTGCTCTTTCTTGATTCTAAGGTTTCTACTATGAAAAAAAACACTCATGTAGTTTTTTGAATTCCTCAGGCAAGACACCGCATCCTGATGATTATACATTGGAATACTATGCGAGCCGCATCCTGATGATTATACATTGGAATACTATGCGAGTCGAATAATTTCATTTTTATTTTTGATTTTTTCTGAGACGAAAACTTGTTTAGTTATATAATTTCAAAAACAATTTTACAGAACAAAAAACAGTAAAACTTATTTAGACAGTTTAAATATATGTTTTGACAATAATTCAAAAATTAATAAAAAAAATACATGAAAATTATTTTTAGATGTACAATTTCATAAAAAAATTTCAATAAACCAAACAGATGAAACGGTCTTCAATTTATAACATATTCAATATTAATTTATATATAAAATCAATCAACCGAATAACAACAAATTTTTTTGAATCAAAAAATCTCAGATCAATGGCGATACCAATAACATAATCAATATCAATGATAGATTCAATATCAATGAACGAAAACATATGAGATCTAAAGCTCTTTGGTTTATATATATATAACTTGAGATCTGAACCAAAAAAATCAGATCATATCAAAAAAAAAAATCAGATCTAAACCAATATACGGTGGTATATATATCAGATATATATATATTGTAACCCCATAAAGAATCTAAACAAGGGAACGATATATTGTGACCATATATTGTAACCCGGTAAAGAATCAAAACAATGGATCGATATATTGTGNCAAGGGAACGATATATTGTGACCATATATTGTAACCCGGTAAAGAATCAAAACAATGAATCGATATATTGTGACCATCGTGTGTGTGTGTGTGTATATATATATATATATATATATATATATATATAGATATATAAACATAAACCAATTGCCGATTGAACTTGTCATTAATATGTGTTTTTTATGAAATCAGATCAAAAAAAAAAAAATCAGATTTGTGTTTTCGCCAATTGAACTAAATTTGAACCAATCGTCGGAGAGCTCGTAGTCATAGTTATAAATAACGGTAACGGTCGTTGTAACGATAGCGGTAACGGAGTAACGGACGCAGGATAAAACGGACGTTACATAACAGTAACAGAAATCGAGAGCGTGAATTTTTTGTTTTCGTTCACAACTCTCTCAAAAAAAAAAAATTTTTACATTTTTAACTCGAAGCTTATGTAAATATAGGCCTTTTGTGATATGTTATACATTTTATTGTATTATAAACAATGTTATATGAATTTATCTTTTAATAATTACGTGATAAGAGTTTTCTAGCGACTTTTAATTGAAGTGAACCCACATAAAAATTTATGTGAGAATTTAAAAATAATAGGCAATTGAGATTTATTAAAAATCTTTTTTTGATTATGAGTATACATTCCTGAAAAAATATTATCAAAATATAAAACAAAAAAACTAGTATTTTATTGGGCCATGTAAAAAATCTGCTAATCTCCAATTCTCACAAGAAGGGGAGCTTAATCTTTTCACACCTATGATAAAAAACCCTAAAGATTAAAGCCTCCGCCGTTCTTCTACCCGAAGCAGAGCAGTGCTTTGTTTCTCTCTCTTCTCCAAACCATGCTCGCAGTAGATCTAGTCGTCGGAGAGCTCCAATATCTGGGGGTGTGTTTTGCTGGAGAAAATGTAGTCGCCAAAGAAGACTTCTGTCTGAGAGAGTCTGTGGAGAGAGAGAGACGGAGAGGAAGTTAAACATGTTTTTGACCTAAACGGGTCGCCGGAGAAGACTTCGGTTCACTGGTTTTTGACCTAAACGGGTCGGTGTTATCTGGTTTAATCATCAACTTTTAAGTCAAACATGTTAAACCTCCTCTTCCTCGGCGTCTTCTCCTCCATCCTCTTCTATCTCCCTCTGAGGTAAACCTTTCTTCCACTGTCAGCTGACCCCAACAGAGCATGCGCCTCATCTACTATCTCTGATCTCTCTCCTATCCAAAATTTCAACTCAGCCATGGTGAGACTTGAAAAGTATGAAATGAATGCGAAAGCCAAAGCCATCTGCAAATCCAATAAAACCGACAAGTTGAACCAGCTAATCGCCGACTTTATGTCCGATTCCAACGGCAAGCGCTCCGACGCCAAGTCGATTTTCGAAAACTGCGTAAGGCAACCCTGTCCAGAAGTCTTCGCTAACAAGCTTTATCAGGTGCTCTCCTCCTCCCTAGACCACAACTCATGTTTCATTTCCGCCATTCTCCTTCTCAAGTCACTCATCACTAAATTTGACACGCCCTTCCTCCGTTTTCCTCCTGAAGAGCAATTCACTCTAAAACGCGATCTCTTGAAATTAGTTGACACATCCGTTGACACACCTACAAGACCAATCAATAAAGAACTCTGCCACACTGTATCAGCTCTTGCAGCTTCTCTTTTACCTAAAAAAGAATGGCCCGAATTCTTACCCTTTTTATTTCAACTTATAACATCTGATAAAAAGAGGGCGTTGTTGATTGGTGCTCATTTAGCACAGTATCTGGGGAAGGGACTGAAGGAGTTGCATTCAGTTAACTTGTATTCGGAGTTGAATTCAGTTATCTTGAATAAGTTGCATCCAGTTAACTTGACAGAGGGGGAGGGGGAGGGGGAGGATGTGCGTATCGTGGTGTGGGGGGCCGCGATTAATTTCATTCTATGTTTAGAACAAAACGATTTGGTCAATTTTCAGGATTTGTTGACAGCGATGATGTCTACGTTGAAGAAGGCGTTGTTGTATAGTGGGAATGAAACAATGGTCGACGATAACACGTTGAAGTTATTGATAAATTTGGCAGGAATGAAGCCGACGTTTTTTAGGAAACAAATTGTGGAAATGGTGAAGAAAATATTGATGATGGCCGATGATCATAGTTTGGAGAAAGGGACTAGGCGTCTGGCCATTGAATTCGTTTTGACATTGGTCCAGTTCGTTTTCACATTGGCCGAGGTCGAGAAAACGAATCCCAGGCTGCTGAAGCTTGGGACGGAGTTTGAAATTAATATGCAGGAGATGTGGGAGGGTAATGGGGAGACGGATTATTGGTCTTGGCGGGGGTGTGTGGATAGGCTGAGGATTTTGTCGCATAAGAATCGTATTTGGACTGTTGCTTTTGAAGTGTTACCGGCGTATTTGGCTGCTCCTAAGGAGCAAAGGCACCGTGCCGCACTCATTGCGCTCTCAAAGAGTATAATTACGTGGAATTGTCGAGAGGTATCAAAACTTTGCTTTTCATACTAAAAAAAAAAATTTGTGACTTTTGATGATACACAAAAATAGATTTAGGCACTATCTGTCGAGTAATTAATGTAGATAATAAATGTAGTAAATATAAGGTGAGATCCGCAATATACAGATGTATAGTGGTTCGGTTAAGGTGACCTACTTCATTTTGAAGACGGCAACGGTGACCAGTAATCTTTATTGATGAAATAGTACGTAAGAGAGAGAGAGAGAGCAAGAATATATTCTTCGTAGTTATGAGAGAGATAGTTGTTTAAGGTTTATAAAAATATGTAAAGATGCTCTCTCATGTAAAGAAAGCTTACAATTTATAAGTACAGAGCTTTTGTTAAGGCAGTGATGTGAGGGTAAAGACATTAGCTTCTTGGGAAAAGTAGTTACAAAAGGTAAGTATAATTAAAGATAGTCTTAATCTTTGAGAGTGGGTCTCCCAATGATTATTCTCTCGCGTTCTAATTTTCTTGAATTTCTTAGACCTTGGACTAAGTTGAATTGACGAACCGGGCTTGACATGCCTTGTAGTTGTTTTGTGCTCACCTCATTAATTGGGTTTCAGCCAGTTAAATCTGAGCTCATCAACTTTTGTAAATATTTTCACCATTTTTTTAAATTACTTTAAATTGGGATCAACTGATTATCCTAATTTAAAGTAATTTAAAAGAATGGTGGAAAAAAGGGGAAAAATGATGAGAATTAGGGTCAATTGATTATCAAATATTTTTCTGTTTTTAAGATTTTTTTGGTTTGGATGATAAGTTGTATTCAATTTTATGGCAGTGTTTGTTAAAAGAGAAAGAATGGGATGTGCGTGTTGCAGCTTTGGGGGCCGCAATTAATTTCATTCAGTGTCCGGACTTGTTGACTTCGATGCTGTCTGTGTTGGAGAACGTGTTGGAGGATAGGGATGAAGCGATGGCCATTGAAGTGTTGGAGTTGTTGACAAAGTTAGTAGAACCGAGGTTTTTGGTGGGGCAAATTGAGGAGTGGGTAAAGAGAATATGGCAGATTGCGAATAATGATAGTTTGAACGTAGCGACGAGGCGTTTGGCCATTGAGTTCCTTTTGAAATTGGCGCCGGACGAGGAGATAGCGCCTTGGCTACAACAGAATGTGAGGAATTTGTTTGAAATTTTGATGAACATGTTGGACTATATAAATGATTATGATCCCAATGCAGATTATGTGTCTGCATGGGAGAGAAGTAATAATTGGCGTTGGAGATGTTTGGGTATGTTGTTTATTGTGGTGGGTAGGAATGACATGTATTCTGTTGTTTTGGAAGTGTTGTCGGCGTATTTGGATGCTCCAGAGTGGCAAAAGAAGTATAGCGCATTCATTGTGCTCGCAGAGAGTATAGAAAGTTGTTGTGAGGTATCAGAGCTTTCCTTTTTATAATTGCTTTTGTTTTCATATTTATTTTGTTGTTACCGCAAGGAGTTTTTGGTCAAAAAAAAAACAAAGGAATTGCGTTTTTGACATCATTTCACTTAATTGCTTTCTTGTTTTTACCTTAATTTATGTTTTGTGATTGGTTGTCTTTCACAATTTATTTTTTATTTGTTTTTCAATACATCTTTCTATATATAAACAATAATTAATTTAAGAATGAGAAGAGTTATCTTTCTAAATGCTTAATTAACTCATTCCAATTAAATTCTTCCATCATTTCTTTAAATTATTTCTAATTTAATTTTCAATCAACTTTTTAATTATTTAAAATTTAAATGAATATCTTTTTACCAAATTAAGATAATTATTCAGTAATATCAAGGTTAAGAAGAATTTGGTGATAAAAAAATAACAAATTTGGCGAATATGTTTTAAAGATTTTTTGTTTTTGTTTATGTTTTTTTTTTCTTTTTCATTTTGTACAAACAGGTGACGATAGAAAATTTGGAACAAGTAGTGGAAATGGTTTTGAGCCGATTTCCAAATGCCCACTGTCACATGCAGTGTGCAGCGATTGAAGCAATTAAGCAGTTACTTTCACATTTATTACGCTTTCGCTTGCATGAGGAGGTTAGCGGGCTTATTTATGTACTTTATAAGTGTGTCCAGATTTTGGTTGTTTTCTCTTACGGTCGGTTTGTTTAGCAAAGTAAAACTAAAAAATGTACAAAAAGAAAATTTTAAAATTTTACGTATGCCCATTTCCAAATGCATTAATAGGTATATGACAAAGGTTGCTCACTAGTTTTAGTCTAATGCTGAGAATTGAGTATGATCGATTGATTGTTAAACATCACTATGGATTGGAGATTTTTCGAATACATTTTTGTATTTTTTCATTTCGTGGACACAGGTGATGAGAACAAATTGGGAACAAGTAATGTCGATGCTTTTGAGCTTATTTCAAGATGACGACCCTGTCGTGCAGAATGCATCTATTCATGCAATTGAGGTGTTGACTACGGATTTGGGCGAACACTTACAAGTTGGATGTCACCTCGTGCTGCCTGCATTAGCTGAAGTGATGAATGACTCCCCAAATCAAGAAATGCGGGTTAGTGGGCTTATTTATGTACTTTTACTTTGCATTTGACCTTGTTTGGGACATGACTCTCAATCTTGCAAACCTTTTCAGCGAATTAATGGACTCTAAATGAGGGCATCCACATTTTAGTTGTTTTCTTTTAACATAAATGAGAAGTATTTTCCTTCTTTCTGTTGAGAGGATGGGTCATTTTCCTTTGGTATTGCACAAGCAATTGAACTGGACTAACCTAACTCTTATCTCTGTCTATACTAACCTTGATAATCTGCCAAAGTACCTAAAAAGACACATAATTTGGGGTCGGGATAGAAAAAAATTAGAAATAAATCTACGCTTGTTGAAGGTGAATTTTGGAAATAGAACAATTTTTTCTGTCGTGTTTCAGAAGATACCATTTTGTATTACTATTTACTCTTGAACAGATATAACTAAAATTTAGTATTGAAGGGAACACTAATCCAAATCAGTATGAATTTTAAATCCAAAGGGTACTAAAATTAAATTTTGGATTAAAAAATTCACACTGAATTCTTTAAACAATTTTTTTTCAAAAAGATAAGGCTTAGTCTAACTAACACATGTGTCCGGTCGAACCAAGTCGTGGCGAAGCGAGCAACACGCGTGTGTGATTGAACTGAAGGTATGTAGGCACTCGCTTCGCTCATAAAATTGTGGTACTCTTTGGTGCTCAATCTCAGAGAACAAACTTGACCTTTTTATTATTTTTAGTATGTTTTGATATCTTTACTAAATTTAATAATTTTTTATTTAAAATTTATATACGTGTATATATATGTATGCTTTCAGATTATTTGTTCTTTTTTATGTTGTTAAGGTTCTGTATCTATGTTTGTTTTTTTTTTCTTGTTCGATTTTGTATTTATGCTTGATGCTTATTTTTTTATTTATACTTGATTTTGTGTCTTGTAGTTTTTCTTATTCCTTTAATTTTTACTTAGTTTTTTTTTGCATTTTTATTTCAGTTTACTTCTTTTTTTCTATTTTTTCCTTGTTTCATTCTTTTATTTTTTTTTTTCTTACAATGACTTCTTTATTTAAAGGGGTATACATAGAATGAGTGAGCTTAACTATTAATGGGGTTTATGTAGTATGAGGTAGATTTAGTTATTAATGGGGTGGGCNGGTGCTCAATCTCAGAGAACAAACTTGACCTTTTTATTATTTTTAGTATGTTTTGATATCTTTACTAAATTTAATAATTTTTTATTTAAAATTTATATACGTGTATATATATGTATGCTTTCAGATTATTTGTTCTTTTTTATGTTGTTAAGGTTCTGTATCTATGTTTGTTTTTTTTTTCTTGTTCGATTTTGTATTTATGCTTGATGCTTATTTTTTTATTTATACTTGATTTTGTGTCTTGTAGTTTTTCTTATTCCTTTAATTTTTACTTAGTTTTTTTTTGCATTTTTATTTCAGTTTACTTCTTTTTTTCTATTTTTTCCTTGTTTCATTCTTTTATTTTTTTTTTCTTACAATGACTTCTTTATTTAAAGGGGTATACATAGAATGAGTGAGCTTAACTATTAATGGGGTGTATGTAGTATGAGGTAGATTTAGTTATTAATGGGGTGGGCTTAGTAGTTTGATAATGATAAATTAAATAGGGTGGGAATGGGGATTTGTGTGGTGGGAATAGCCCCACCCTTTCCATAAATCAAAGGGGGTCACTTTGGAGCCTATTATTTTATTCATTTCTTACTCAATTTAAGGAAGAAAATATACTACGTTATTTAATTTAAGGAAGAAAATATACTACGTTATTTAATTTAAGTAAAAAAATATACTACGTTATTGTCTTCAGGGAGTAGAACTTTAGGGAGTAGAACACGAACGCACTNTTAATTTAAGTAAGAAAATATACTACGTTATTGTCTTCAGGGAGTAGAACACGAACGCACAAAAATTTACTCGAATCAAGGAGTGAGTTTTACTTTAATTTAGGTTCAAAGTCAACCAAAAATCAAATTTTAATGACTAAAATCTGTTTTAGTCCAACAGAATATTCATAAGCTACGATTGAAGTTAAGTTTTTGAATTGTCTAGTGTCATCCAAGTAAGTTTTATTCACTGTATTTTTGTATGATGTGGGAAGCTACCTTTGCAATTGTTGTCACTTGCTTGATGTGTGCTAGTTCTTGTTCATCTTTATTCGGGTGTTGTATTAGGGGAGATTTAACTTCAAGAAATGTTCGGCCAGGGTACAATCGTACTAATAATGGTCATTGCCTATTAAGGCTATGTTTGTAAGATGTAAATTACTGCTATTTGGACCTTGAACCTTTTATGAATGGTATGACTTCATTCATGTCGTTTTTGTCTGTATTTTGCTTGGTACTGCTTCTTTGTTGATTTTTCATTTCTTGTGATTAGATGCAATGGCTCATAAGATAATGGAGATTGTTAGTGTTCGTCATCATTATGTTATTATTGTGAACATTATTGATAGTTTTCATCTTTGCCCTTATTTTATTAACTTCATCAACTAAGTTCATTCTTTTACAACAAGAAAAAATTGGCATCGATTCTTTGTTATTTGTATGTTGCAGGACAGTGTTGCTTCAATAATTCTAGATTTCAGTGAATATTGCACTCAGGACAGTTTAAGGGAACACTTTGATGGGATTATAAGTAGCTGTCTTATAGTATCAAAGGTATATCATCATTTAATATTGCAAGTACAATATCCCAACAAGCCCATTGTCAAATAATTCATATGCATGTATGTTACAAAAAACAACAAATGAGCTGAACCCTATAAGTTTTTTTGGAGTTTGTATGGCTAAATCTTACACTCATTATCTCAATCTAAAATTTGCATTTTTTTTCCTATTTTTTCTATTTAAATATACTTGTATGAGTTTTAAAACTTAAATACTACTTTTCAGATTTTTTGTTTTTTTAAATACATTTTAATTTGCATATAACAGTCTCTCACTTTCTTTATCAGTTTTTAACTTCTTCAAAAGTCTACTCTGATTAAACTTTCAACCCCATTCAAACTCCTCACTATAGTTGTCTACCCTTCCTCATCAAGTAATAGATTTTTATAATGTTGAATGATCTAATAATGCATTGATCTCATCAAATTAAATCATTCCATATAACTTATATTCCCACAAAACTATTTTAAATTTAAATTTTGCATTTTCCTTTTTTTTTTTTATATGTGTATTTGAATTATTGCATGAATAAAAAAATTACAAGAAGCAATGAGGATTAAACAAGTTGGCTTAAATCCTTCAAAACACCCTCTAATCAAAAGAATTACATCAATGAATATTTCAACATATAAAAAATGTATAAAGGAAATTCAAAGAAATTTCCTCTTCTTTCTCAATTGCTGAAGTCCTTGCTGGTCATGCAGCAGCAGCATCCTTGCCTGCACAGGAACAGACTGATCTTGGGGAAAAATAGATGAACAACCATTCACTGCCCAATTAGCAAAAGAATGTGCTAGGCAGTTTGCCTCCCTGTAAACATGCTTCAAACTGAAGTTCAAATAGTCCAATCTCCTCAAGATCTGTCTCACATGACCCCAAAACTTCCAAGCTCTATGGTGCTTTTTCAAGACCATTTGTACCATGACCTCAAAATCAGTTTCAATCTGAAACTAATAACCAAGCAGGTTATATCTCTCCAATAAAACCAGACAATCACTCAATGCCCTTAACTCAACTTCCATGTTTGAACAGTCACCATAACAGAACGAGGCAGCAAAAACCAGATTACCCCAGTGATCTCTGACCACCATTCCACCCCTAGCTCTACCAAGATTCCCTTTGGAAGCCCCATCAACATTGAGCTTTAGCATTCCAAATGAAGGAGGATATCGTCTCACCCACAAAGCAATAGTCTGAAACCTTTGAACATACTC